GCATTTACATTTAAAGCAATTATTTGTAAGTATGTACTTATTGCCATTTTTTTTTTTTCTGGCTGTTTTGGTAGTTCTTCTCTTGCTCTCTTTCTTTGTGATTGATGCATTTCTGTAGTATCATGTTTGGCTTTCTTTTTCCCTTTTTTGTGTCTATTATAGGTTTTAGCTTTGTGGTACTATGAGGTTCATATATAACATCCTAAGTATATAGCACTCTTTTTAGTTGATGGTCATTTAAGTTCAAACACATTCTTTAAAAAAAACCTGATTTCACCCTTTCCTTCATGTTTTATGTATATGCTGTCATATTTTATATCTTTATTCACAATTTTCTAACATCTAATTATGGCCATTTCTTTTCCGCTTAAGTTCCTTTAACATTTCTTGTAAGGCTAGTTTAGTGGTAATAAAATCATTTTGGGGGGAACTTCAGCTCTGAATGATACCCTTGCCAGGTAGAGTATTCTTGGTTGTAGGTTTTTTCCATCACTACTTTGAATATATCATGCCATTTTCTTTTGGCCTGCAAAGTTTCTGCTGAAAATTCAGCTGATAGCCTTGTAGGGTTTTTCTTTTCTTTCTTTTTTTTTTTCCCCAGATAAAATTTTATTCAGAAGGGGGCGCCTGGGTGGCTCAGTCGGTTAAGCGTCTGCCTTCGGCTCAGGTCATGATCCCAGAGTCCTGGGATTGAGCCCCGCATCGGGCTCCCTGTTTGGCGGGAATCCTGCTTCTCCTTCTCCCTCTCCCACTCCCCCTGCTTGTGTTCCCTCTCTCGCTGTGTCTCTCTCTGTCAAATAAATCAATAAAATCTTAAAAAAAAAAATTTATTCAGAAGGATAATTTTGAGTGCTGTGAATTGTGTAAGACTATTGAATCACAGACCTGTACCTCTGAAACAAATAATACATTATATGTAGGGTTTTTCTTGTAGGTAACTTTTTCCTTCTCTCTTGCTGCCTTTAAAAGTCTCTCTTTATATATTTATTTTTAAAGTAGGCTCTATGCCCAGTGTGGGGCTTGAACTCATGACCCTGAGATCAAGAGTAGTATGCTGTACTGACTGAGCCAGGCAGGTGCCCCCAAAGTCTCTCTTTATCTTTAACCTTTGACATTTTATGTGTCTTGGTTTGGATCTCCTTGGGTTCATCTTGCTTAGAACTCTGTGCTTCTTGAACCTATATATCTATTTCCTTCCCTATGTTAGGGAAGTTTTCAGCTATTACTTCTTCAAATAAATTTTTTCCCTTTCTCTCTTGCTGCTTCTTCTAGGTCCCCTATAATGAGAATGTTTTTTCACTTGATGTTGTCTAAGAGACCCCTTAATCAACCTTCATTTGTTAATTATTATTTTTTCTTTTTGTCATTCAGCTTGTGTGCTTTTCATTAGCCTGTCTTCCAGATCGCTGATATATTCTGCATCCTCTAATCTACTGTTGATTCTCTCTAATGTATTTATTTCAGTCACTGTATTCTTCAACTCTGATTGGTTCTTTTTTCTATTTTTTTAAATCTTTTTTTTTTTTAAAGATTTTATTTATTTATTTATTTGAGAGAGAGAGAATGAGAGAGAGAGCATGCACATGAGAGGGGGGAGGGTCAGAGGGAGAAGCAGACTCCCCGCCTAGCAGGGAGCCCGATGCGGGACTTGATCCCGGGACTCCAGGATCATGACCTGAGCCGAAGGCAGTCGCCCAACCAACTGAGCCACCCAGGCGTCCCTTAAATCTCTTTATTGAAGGTCTCACTGAGTTCATTCACTCTTCTCTCCAGCTCAGTGAGCATCTTTATGATCATTACTTTAAATTCTTTATCAGGCATATTGTTTATCTCCATTTCATTTAGCTCCTTTTTCTGAGGTTTTATCTTTTTCTTTCTTTTGGAGCATATTTCTTTGTCTCCCCATTTTGCCTGACTTCCTGTGTCTGTTTCTATGAATTAAGCAGAATAACTACTTCTAAATTTGAAGGAATGATCTTGTGTATGGTCATCCCCTATGTAGACCTTGTGTGTTTGGTGACTTTCACTGGCTGGAGATGTGGCTGGCATGGGCTGGGTATCCCAGGACTCCACACAGTGGGGCACCCTGGCAGGATAGCTGAAGTGGGTACAGGTCATTGTGGTCCCTGGGCTCTCCCTGCAGCAGGTGCCCTGGCAGGATAGCTAAAGTTAGAGTGGGTGCATGCCAGGTGTCCCAAGGCTCTACACCCAGAGGGAAGCTTGACAGTATAGCTGAAGCTGACATGGGTATTATTCGGAGTATCCTGGAGCTCTCCACACAGAGGGCACCCTAGCAGGACAGGTGAAGCTGAAGTGGGTGTATCCCAGGAGATCCCAGGGCTCTCCATGCAGTGGGTGCCGTGTCCCAACAGCTAAAGCTAATGCTGTTGCAGGTCAGAGTGTTTCAGGTTCTATGTGCTGAGGGCACTCTGGCAGGATGGCTGAAGTGAAGGTAAGCTGGGATTTCTGGGCACTATTTTCAGGGGGTGATCTGGTGGGGTGGCTGGAGCTGAAGCAGTATGTGGACCAGGAGACCCTTGAGTTCTTTGTACAGGGGGTGCCCTGATAGGATAGCTGAAGTGGGTGCAAACAGGTATGTTCTAGGACTCCATAGAGAGAATGCCTTGGAGGGGTGTTGGCTGGAGCTGAGGCAGGGTATATGTCTGGCCAAGGAGGGGTCCTGGGGTACTCGGCACAGGGGTTGCCCTATATCACATTTTGTCTATCCATTCATCTGTTGGTGGGCATTTAGGTTGTTCCTATCTTTTGGCTACTGTGAATAATGCTATTATGAACACTGATGTACAAGTATCTGTTTGAGTCCTTGCTTTAATTCTTTTTGGTATATACCTGCGAGAATTGCTGGGTCATATGGTAATCCTATGTTCAGTTTTTACAGAACCACAAAAACTGTTTTCGACAGTGGCTGTACCATTTTACGTTCCCACCAGCAATGTGTGAGGGATCCAGTTTCTCCATATCCTTGCTGACATTTGTTATTGTCCATTTTTTAAAAGAATATAGTTATCCTACCAGGTGTGAAGTGGTACAGACTTACATTTTCGAAGAATCACTTGGGAAACAGCATGGAGGATGGGCTGAAGGGGGAAAACCCAAGAGGCAGAGAAAAGAGCTGAGAAGTTCTTGCTAGGGATTGTTTTCTGACCATTGGTCTAAGAGAGTGGTCCTGGACAGCAGTGCATGGGAAGGGAAGGACATGTTATGACATGCTTAAAAGAGAATTCATGTTAAGGAGAGCAGGCACACAAGAAGTGTTCAAATTTTCTGACTTGGTTACCTATGTGGAGGATGATATATGCTCAGATCAAGGGATAGATGGTGAATTCAGTTTTTGACGCAATAAGAACATGGTAATTCTGGGATCTTCAACTGGGCAGTTGGATATGAGGGTCTGGAACTTAGGGGTGATGCCTGGTCTGGAGATAGAGATTCACACATCACTAATGTTCAGAAAGCCATTGCAGTGATTGGCATGAATTCAGTCACTGGGGGAAGTGTATGGAGTGGGAAGACTTGGGGGCTGAGGATATACTCTGGGGGGGACTCGGGCCTAAACACTGTAAAGGGAGGAGGGAAATCCTACCCCAAATGTGAGAAGACATGGCTCTGAAGCAGGAGTAATATCTCAGAAACCAAAGGAAGATTTTAAAAAGAGGAAGGCATGAAAAGGAGCAAATATGGAGAATGTTTTGATAGTATTTGCAATTACCTAGGTTTGTGCTGCAAACAAGAGATGAATTATTTGGCTAATACACGATCGTGCCTTTTTTCTGTTCTACCAGGGACCATTAAATAATAGTATATTTGGATTTCATAAGTACAGTAGGTTTGAATTTTACCATTTCTTTTGAGTTTTTTTTTCTTGTAGTTCAGTTGACAGTGTTATATTAGCACTTTATTATTAGCATATTAGATTTGTGTGTACAACATATAGTGATTTCACAATTCCACACAGGACTCAATGCTCACTATGATAAATGTACTTACCATCTGTCACCACATGATGTTTTAGGATATTATTCACTATATTCCCTTTGCTGTACTTTTCATCCCTGTGACTTATTTAGAACTGGAATTTTGTACCTCCTAATTCCCTTCACCTATTTTGCCCATCCTCTCATCTACCAGAGGGGACTCTGGCAACCACCAGTTTGGTCTCTGTGTTTAAGAGTCTATTTTTATTTGTTTTGATACATTTGGAAATATATTTTTAAAAATATGTAGTTTTAAAAACTACTCAGCCTGCATAATTTTGTAATGTGGAATGTATTCTGTCACCATCAGTATATTTCATTTTAGTAGTGGTCTGGTGGTAACTACGTTTCTTAAATATACATACACGCACACGTATGTATATATACATATAGTCACACACACACACACACATATATATACATTTGGCATATTCTGCCAGGGAATATACTACTGTGAATATTAATATTATTGGCAAGTGATCAGAGTTTCCAGTTTTCAATGATATTTTTTAATTAAAAAATAAATTTTAACAAAATAAGTTCCTTTTGATTAAAGGTCTGAGATTGTTCATTCATTTTTAGGCTATTTTAAAACAGCCAATACAAAATTTTTGGTTAAGCCATCAAATGTCTAAAAATTATTCTATTTAATATAATTCATATGAAAATTATATTTCTCAGGATTCGCATGAGGTAATTTTTGTTCATTGTCAGTTAACAGTTTTTGTTGACCTGTTGGGGATGATGTGCCTGTCAGCCTTAGGAGGAGAACTACCACTTGTGTTGACAATAATAATCACTTCCGGTCATTAGGAGCTCAGGGTAGTATTTCTAACGAACGGCTTAATAGGAATTAAGAGGATGATAATCTCACATTTATTTTCTTTCAAGAATTACATAAAAGCTGTTTCCTGTAGTTTGACATTTTATCCTGCTTTTTTGTAGAATGGAAGATGGTGAACAACAAGTAAAAGTGAAGTCCTTCAGGTACATTGAACCACTGAGATTGATAGATGGTGGGTGGAAAAGGTTGCACCTGCAAACCTTTAGCCAAAGTAAGAGGTGACGTCAAGATAGAATTGATTCATGAATATTAGGTTTTTCTCATTCGGTACCTGTTACCTTTTCTATCTACTTGAATAACATAATGTGCCTTTAAATTTTTCTTAGAGGGACTGTTTATTAAAATATTTCCTTTAAGCACTAGATCAAAGCTGATTCATGCCATAAACAAATCAAAATTACTTCCGAGGAGCATCTGATTGTTAGGAATTCATCCTCATAAATTCTTTGTCAATTGTTTCAGCATATTCTCAACGTCAACAAAAATTTTTCTACATCTGGCAACATGGCCAGATCTCAGTTTTGCTTTTTCTTCATTTATTCTGGTTTTTGATATGATTTACAAAACACTGACAGGGGTCAAAGTGGCAGTAACAGTACGCAGAATTAAGAGCCAGGCCCTGCTGCTAAATTATCAAGCATGGAACCAGCCTCTGGTAAATAGGGCCTTCTCAAATACAGTCTTCCGGAATTCTTTTCAGGTGCATCTCCTTCAAGTAAAGTGCCTTATTCAAAAATCTAACTATTTTGCCTTCCTCTGGGTTTCCTAGCTCCTACCATCATCATTCATTGTTCTCCACAGGGCCTTGCTCCCACCTGTACTCACCTGTCTCTAACACCCTACCTCTGAGACAGAACACCCCATCTGCTATGCATTCCTGGAAACAGGCATCTCTGCCCATTGCTCGTGTCTGTTGCTAGTGTGTAATACTGGTAGAAACAAGAGGTGATAACTCTAGCAAGATGATAACTATAACATTCTTCTAATCATAAAATTTTAATCTAAAAATTACTCCTGAATGGACCAAAGCATGAGTATATAACTAAATTTTATGTGAATGTACATATAATTTAAATTCCATCCAGTTCATCAAAAGTACATATTTTGTTCCAGGAGTGACATGACCCAAGGGTGAATGGTTGTGGGGACGCGGGGGACGGGGAATATTATCTCCATTGGTTTTCATTAGTGTTCTCCCCTCCCCCACTCTTTTATGTGGAAAAATTACATTTTCTTTCATCTAATTTAAAGTTGCCATAAAGACAGGTCAGAGCAAATGTCCTCCTTTCCCATCAGACTGTCTTTTTTAAACTCTTCTTCTGTGGAAATTCTGGAGGTGCCATGATCTGAGTGTTGTAGGAGAAACAGACAGATGTTTACAGTTAAGTGTGAAGAGTAAAAGAGCCTAACTCAAATGTAAGGTACAAATATAAGATATACATTTTCCCCCTACATTTTACCATCTATGAAAAAGGTCTTATCAATGGCCTCTTCCTGTTAATTGGCAACGTTTTTCTTTCCTTGTGACGTATTAAACAATACTGAATTTTCAACAGATGGTGACTTAGGTCTGGTGACATGGTCACAGTGTAAAAGATAATGAGGCAACTGAGAGAGGAAGGGGATTCTTCAGGTAGTAGTCACAGATGGTTTCCAGGAAGAATAACTGAGCTGGGTTTTGAAGAAGGAGGAGGATTTTTCCAATATAGAAGGGAAGGACATTCTAAGCTTAGCAAAGAGCAAGTCAGAGGAGATGTGAGGTGACTTGGCATGTGTGAGGACCAGCAAGTCGTTTGGCATTGCTGCGGAGTAATGTGGAGCTGTAGGGAATGCACGGAGAGAGGAAACTGGAAATGAGGGCACAAACCAGGTCATGGAGAACCTTGGGGTGTCATGTGGGAGTTTGGCCCTTCCTCTTAGGCAGTGAAAATACATGTTAGCAGTTTGATGCAATGGAATTAGATGACTTTGTTTGTTTTAGAGTGATAATTCTGGAAGTCGGGGTTTATATAGACTGGAAGAGGAAGATGCTGGGAGTATAGCAAGTTAAAAGGCTTTTGGGGGTAGTGCAATGAGCTGTCACCTAAGGAATCAAGATGGTGACAGTGGGGAGGAAGACAAGACCTATATAAGAACCATTTAAGAACTAGAACCTATAGGAGTTTGTGATTATTTGGCTCTTCAGGGTGACGAAGGAAGGGTCTAGAATGAGCCTAGTGATATCAGCAAGATATCACCAAGATAAACTCTACAGGGGTAAATCAGGGGTAATGGAGGAAGGAGGAATAAAATGGAGTAAATTGCAATTCGGTGTGAGCTTACTTGAGGTTTAAAGTACTTGTGAATCATTTAGGTGTGTAGTTCAAGTTCTGAAGGTCAGGAATGGGGTGAAGTATGAATGAGATAGAGATTTAATAGTAAGTAGCTTATGAACAGCTGTAAAGCCTTTGAGAGATGGTGCTATCTCAGGGTGAAGCTATAGGGTGAGGAAAGAGTAGAGCCAAGTGGGGAATCTTGGGGACACTGCTATTTAAGGACAGAGGAAGAGCTGATAAAGATACTAAGGGGACTGAGCAGAGCAGGGAGGACGGAGGAACAGGAGATGGTCACAGGAGCCAACGGAAGAATGAGGAATGTCGGTACCATTAAATTCAAGGCAGGGATCAGCAAGGAGTTGCATAAAATAAGGATGACCTCTGCTAAAAAGAGTGTCAGTGGGGCAGGGTTTGTGGAAGGTTGATTTTAATAGATGGAAAGGTGCCTGCTTGAGAAGTGAGAAGAGTGGAGATGGTGATCTTCCAGGAAGCTGGCTGAGAACAGAAGACAGTAGCAAGGTAAAAACCCCTAGGAGTGGGGAAAGGCGGGTTTTTTTCCCCCAGAGGGAGAGATTTGCACACATGTGCAGTCCCGTGGGAAGCTGCTGTGGAAGAGAATGAAGTTAAGATGCTGAGGAAGAGAATGAAGTTAAGATGCTGAGGCGAATACCGGAGAACAGTGATCTGTAATAAGAGGAAGAGTTGGGTAGCCTTCTAAGACTGAGGGAGGTTCTAAAGCTACCCATGTGGCTCTCAGACACATCTTAGTTCTTGAAGGTTTCTGGAAATAAGACAGGGAGGAAGAAGCAGGGGTAGTTGGTGGGGGTGGGATGAGAGATGAGCCCCATTCCTGCGCTCAGCAGCTCCCTCCTCTTCCCTGAACCACAAGTGCAGGGCCAAAGTTGGGAGGGAGGTGGGTGTGCTCTTGTGGGCCTCCTCTGGCTCCAGCCAGTGCCTCCAGGTTAACTCTGAGTCTGCTCGATGTTAAAAATAAAGGAGGTTCTTTTCCTTCTTAGAGAAGCTCATAGCCAAACCGAAAAGCGGAGGAGAGATAAAATGAATAACCTGATTGAAGAACTATCTGCAATGATCCCTCAGTGCAATCCCATGGCACGTAAACTGGATAAACTTACAGTGTTAAGAATGGCTGTCCAACACTTGAAATCTTTAAAAGGTGAGTTTGGAAATGGCTTCTGCATTTGTTTTGCTTTGTTTTTAAAGATTTTATTTATTTGAGAGAGACAGAGATAGCGAAATAGCAACAGAGAACATGAGCATGGAGGAGAGGGAGAAGCAGGCTCCCCACTGAGCAAGGAGCTTGATCCCAGGACCATGGGATCATGACCTGAGCCGAAGGCATGCTTAACCCACTTAGCCAGCCAGGCACCTCGCACTTGGATTTGTGAAGTCCTCCCTGTAATTGAGATCCTGGATTCATTTGTTTTGCTGTTGTTGGCTACTGAAATTCTATACAAATGTGTCTTTCAGCTTTATAGGCATCAGTTTGTTTATAGGCATCAGTTTTGATGCTTGCTTATATTCTGTATGTGGAGAGAATATTAATCGGGGTATGGAAAACCTTGGTTTCACTAAAAGCTTTATCTTAAGTGCACACAGTATGTCTTTACATTTGTGTCATCTTCAATGTCTTTCATCAATGTCTTAGAGTTTTCAGAGTACAGTCCTTCCACTGCCTTGGTAAAATTTATTCCTAGGTGTTTTATTCTTTTTGATAATATGATTGTTCTCTTAATTTCTCTTTCTGCCAGTTTGTTAATAGTGTATAGAAATGCACTGGATTTCTGTATGTTGATTTTGTATTCTGCAACTTTACTGAATTCATTTCTTAGTTCTAATAGTTTTTTGGTGGAGTCTTTAGAATTTTCTATATGGAATATCTTGTCACCTGCATATAGTGAGAGTTCTACTCCTTCCTTACCAATTTGGACGCCTCTTATTTCTTTTTCTTATCTGATTGCCATGGCTCGGACTTCCAGTACTATATTGAATAAAAGTGGTGAGAGTGGACATTCTTGTCTTCTTCCTGATCTTAGAGGAAAAACTTTCAGCTTTTCACCTCTAAGGATGAAGTTAACTCTGGGTTTGTCATTTATAGCATTTATTATGTTATGTTCCGTCTGTACCCACTTTGTTGAGTTTTTCTGAATGTTGAATTTGTCAAATGCTTTTTCTGCATCTGTTGAGGTGATCATATGATTTTTATCTTTCACTTTATGTGTTATGTTGATTGATTTGAGATACTGAACCATCCTTGCATCTCTGGAACAAATCCCACTTGATCATGGAGAATGATCCTTTTAATGTATTGTTAAATTTGGTTTGGAAATATTTTGTTGAGGACTTGTGTTCATCAGGGATATTGGTCTGTAATTTTCTTGTTTTGTTAGTGTCTTTGTTTTTCATATTAGGGTAATACTGGCATCATAGAATGAATTTGGAAGTTTTCCTTTCTCTTCTTTTGGAATGATTTGAGAAGGGTAGTATTAACTCTTCTTTAAATGTTTGGTAGAATTCACCTGTGAAGCCATCTGGTCCTGGACTTTTGTTTATTGGGAGTTTTTTGATTACTGATGCAATTTCATTGCTGGTAATTGGTTTGTTCAGATTCTTCCCAATTCAGTTTTGGGAGATGGTAGGTTTCTAGAAATTCACCCATTTCTTCTAGTTTGTCCAATTTTTTTTTTGCATAGTTTTTGTAGTCTTTTTTAATAGCTTTGCATTTTTGTAGTGTCGGTTGTATTTTGCATTTCTTTTTTTTAAGATTTTATTTATTTATTTGACAGAGAAAGACACAGCGAGAGAGGGAACAGAAGCAGGGGGAGTGGGAGAGGGAGAAGCAGGCTCCCTGCTGAGCAAGGAGCTCGATGCGGGGCTCGATGCGGGGCTCGATCCCAGGACCCTGGGATCATGACCTGAGCCGAAGGCAGACGCTTAACTGACTGAGCCACTGAGGCTTCCCACTCTTGCATTTCTGATTTTGATTCTTTGTCTTGATGCATCTGGCTAAAGTTTTAACAATTTTGTTTATGTCTCTATTTAATTTATTTCCACTCTGATCTTTGTTCCTTTTCTAGCTCCTTTAGGTATAAAGTTAGATTGAGATTTTTCTTCTTTCTTAAGGTGGGTCTGTATCACTATAAACTTCCCTCTCAGAATTGCCTTTGCTGCATCCAAGAGATTTTGAGCCATTGTCTCTATTTTCTTTCATCTTCATGTATTTTTTCCTTCCCTCTATGACTTCTTTGCTGACCCACTGGTTATTTAGTAGCATGGTTTTTTTGGCCTCCACATGTTTGTGTTTTTCCAGTTTTTGTTTGTTTGTGTGTTTGTTTTGTAATTGATTTTGTTTCACTGTTGTAGTCAGAAAAGATGTTTGATTTCAGTCATCTTTTTTTAATTTCAGTCTTCTTAAATTTATTGAGACTTGTTTTGTGGCCTAACATGTGATCTATTCTGGAGAATGTTTCATGTGCACTTGAATGTATATTCTCTTGTTTTTGGATGGGATGTTTTGTGTGTGTATATCTGTTAATCCCGTCTGCTGTAGTTTGTCAGTCAAAGCCACTGTTTCCTTATTTTCTTTTGGGTGATCTATCCATTGATATAAGTAGGGTGTTAAAGTCCCCTACTATTATATTACTCTTCATTTCTCCCTTTATGTCTGTTAATGCTTGCCTTATATATTTAGGTGCTCCTATGTTGGATGCATATTTACAATTGTGATAACCTCTTTTGAATCAATCCCTTTATTATTATGTAATGGCTTTCTCTTCTCTTGTTACAGTGTTTTAAAGTCTATTTTGTTGATATAAGTGTTGCTACCCCATCTTTTGTTTTGCTTTCATTTGCATGGAATATCTTTTTCCATTCCTTCATATTCAGCCTGTGTCTTTAGCTCTGAAGTGAGTTCTTTGGACGCAGCATGTAGTTGGGTCTTATTTTGTTATCCATTGCATCACCCTATGTTTTTTGATTAAAGGTAAATAAATGTAATGCTCCAGAGTAATTACTGATAGGTACATACTGAAATTTTAAAAATTGTTTTCTGTTTGTTTTTGTAGTTCTTCTCCATTCCTTTCTTCTTTTGGTCCCTTCCGTTGTGATTTGAGGACTTTCTTTAGTGTATGCTTGAATTTCTTTCTCTTTATTTTTCGTGTATGTATTATAGGTTTTTGGTTGTAGTAACCATGAGTTTCACATAACATCCTAAGTATATAGCAGACTGTACCCAAGTTGATGGTCCCTTAACCTTGAACACATTCTAAAAGCACTACATTTGTACTCCTCCTCTCCACATTTTATACATAGGCTGTCACATTTTATATCTTTTTATTTTGTATATCCCTTAACTAATTTTTGTAGATATTATTTTACTACTTTTGTCTTTTAACTGTCATACTAGCTTTATAAGTGGTTGATCTACCACCTTTACTCTATGTTTGTTTTTACATTTGAAATATTTTTCTTGCATAATATTCTTCTAGTCTTGGCCTTTTCTTTTCTGCTTAAGAAGTCCCCTTAACAAGAAAGAGATAATTTAAATCACCTTCCTTAGATTTCTACATGCGGTAGAACAGTGGCTCCTTGTACTCCAACCTGCGGACTATGTGCAGATCTGGAGAGTAGGCAGTGGGGAAAGAAAGTACAGCCTTGATCCCTTCAATGCCAAGCAGAACAGCGTAAGTGTGGGAACACTGCTTGGCAGGCTTCCTTTTGGGAGTGTGACAGGAGGTCTTATTTTCCTAACAATCCATTGTGAAACAGGATTCTCTTTTACCCACAACTGGATCTTGCATAAGTTGTATGCAATATTTCCCTTAAATCTTTAAGCAGTGAACATTTGCAGGCCCCACTGAGGTCATTTGATTGCAACCCTAAAATTACCCAACAATTTTCACATTTGCAATGCCCAGAGGGAGGAGGACCTAAGGGAAAAGTCATGAATCCATCAAGTAATTCAACAAACATGCACTGAGCATCAAGTAGGTTCCTGTCTGTGCTGGGAACTTGAAAAGGAAGGAACAAGATCTCTGCGCTCTTGGGATTCACAGTAGGCGAGGGAGACAGACCCAGGTAGAGACCATTAAAATCCAGGGTGCTAAATGCTACAGTGGAAGTAAGAGTGGGAGGAGCAGCAAGAGAAGCTCAGTAGGGAGGACGTACTGTCTAAATCCAGAGCAGATTCCTTGCACCAGAGCACAGGTTTTTGCCATTGGCCCTTCTGAGGTGGTCAAGGACTCATCACCCATCCTGAGCATACCCTTAAGTCAGTGCTGCCCACAAGTGAGAGGACTTAAGGCAACTGGGTCTGCCTGCATTCCAGTGCCCTTACAGGAGTAGACCACCCAACTTGTTCCGCAAAACCTGGACCCCAAATCATCAGAGGGCTGCATGTGGATCATGTTATTTTGGTCCCTACATAATTATTTTAAAGACAAATGGGTCATGAAATGAGTTTTTGTACTGTAAACTTTAAATAGTGCTTTTGAAATTATCTGGGTGGAGGACAAGTGTTACCCACCCCCCACCCATTATAAAGTACAGTTAATTCCTGGAAAAATGATCATGGGCTGTGGCTTGGCACAACAATGTCACATTTCCATAAAAGTGTCTGAAAATTTTTTTAAAAAGATTGATTGATTTGACACAGAGGGAGAGCGCATGCATGGGCACAAGCAGGGGGAGTGGGAGCGGGAGAAGTGGGCTCCCTGCTGAGCAGGGAACCCAAAGCAGGGCTCCATCCCAGGACGCTGGGATCATGACCTGAGCGGAAGGCAGACGCTTAACCGACTAAGCCACCCAGGCGCCCCTAGAAATGCTTGTTCTTCATTTCTGTACTCACCTGCCACAGTTTGCTGATGACATTGGTCTGCAGACAGCACTTGGAGTAGCCCTTCTTCTCAGCATGTGCCTTCAGAGAAACTGTGGGCATTCTATATGTGTAGTCATATTACTGGGGCTCAGTGGGGTGCAGTGGTCCATGCATGTAGCTCCCTGAGGCAAACCTCCTGGGTTCAAAGCGTGGCTCCCTGACTTAATAGCGGTGTGACTTATTCAAGTCACTTCACATTCTGATCAACTTCCATAGCCGTAAAATAGGGATAATGCATTTACTGAGTAGGGTCGTTGTTGAGAGTAAAGAGTAACACCTATAAAGGGCAAGCACAGAGTTTACTCAGGGTGGGGGTGGGGGGGAGCAGGAGGAATAGTTACTGTGATTTTGATCATTTTAACCTAATGAACGCTGTAATAAAGGTAAGTGATCATGTTTCCTTGTTTGTTATCTCTCAGGGCGCCTGGGTGGTTCAGCTGGTTAAGCGTCTGCCTTCTGCTCAGGTCATGATCTCAGGGTCCTGGAATCGAGCCCCTGCATCGCATGGGGGTCCCTGCTCTGCGGGGATCCTGCTTCTCCCTCTCCCTGTGCTCCAACCCCCACTTGTGCTCTCTCTCTCTCAAATAAAATCTTAAAAATTTTGTTACCCCTCATTGGCCCATGCACAGAATATCACAGCATGCGTTTTATTAACACACCTCAGCCTGGCTTCGGCTCGGCCCTTACGCCCACCCCCCATTTCTCCTTAGCACGTCCTCGCTCACTGCCCAGGCTCGCCCATTCTGGCTGATGGACATGGACAGGGTTTCCCCAGCATACTTCTGCCAACCTTCGGGCCAGACAAGCAGATAACACTGCCTTGCTCAAATTGATTTATGGCTCTACCCTGGTCTGGAACTCGGTCTGTATCTTTCTGCTCTTTCTCAACTCCCTCCCACCAGGTTGCTATGTAGTCATTTATAATAACAAGAAATCATTTGAGGGAATTCTTGGAGACCTACCTAAGGTAGATTCTGACAGGGATTTTCATTTGCTTATGCCAGGCTCATAAGGGTGCTACCGGTCTGAAAAAAAACGATCAAGTCAGACCATTAGGTATTTTTTATTTTCTGGGTTTTTTTTCTCTTCCAGCACTTAGGTATTTTGTGAGTTTGAGCTGCAAATACATCCAAGGGCCACTGTGTGGTTAAAATGTCCCAGGGTGGGGAAAACAACAACAAAAACCTCTCAGGGTATTAACCCATCTTTCTCTTGCAAAAGCAACTTTTCTTGCTGTCCTCAGGAAGAGGGGCTTGGGGTTAGGAGAGTTGAGAAGGATAAGAGAGGGAAAATTGATTTACCTGTGAATTACCCTTGCCTGGAGGTTATCTGGGGACAAGGCACCTTGGCTTGGTGGTCTGTCCCTTGCGCCCCCTTGTGGCCACGAACGGCTTTCTCCTGTTGAGGTGGGCGGATGCCTTTAAGGCAAATGTGATTCGGCGCTTCCCTTATTTCTCTCATTGAAAGGTTTACCTAGGTCGTTACCTGCTGGTTCCTCATTTTGTCGGCTGTTCAGTTAGAGACTTTTATTTTAATACAATAAACTCTGTGCTAAGGGCTTAAAATGAACTATTTCACTTATATTTTATACATTTTTATATATTATCAGAAATCTCCATATGATTTTTAAAGAGCCATATGGGAAAATTGTATGAATCCATAGAAGTGATTTAAAGTTCCACAATCTTCCTCTTTAGGGTAATTCACATAATCAGTTCTTTTGTTTAGTTTTTTGTTTTTTAAGTAGGCTCCATGCCCAGCACGGAGCCCAACACAGGGCTTGAACTCACGACCCTGAGATCAAGACCTGAGCTGAGATCAGGAGTTGGACACTTAACCAACTGAGCCACCCTGGTGCCCCGGAGCAGTTTTAAGAAGCGGAATTATCAATTCTAGCTAGATTCTTGAATACTGTTGCATGTTGTTATAGTATTAAAAAGAATCTAGTTCTTTTTTGAAATCCAGCTCCTACTGTCTACACATTTAAGTATAAGGGAATAAGATCCAAGAACTTAGCAAGTATAAAAGCAGGACATCTTAATCTAGTAATAATGAAAGAATGATTACGATAAAGTTGTAGAATGTGCTGAAAGTACCGTCTTCAATGCAACAGCAACAGTGTGCAGTTCCCTACATTTCCAACTCTATTTTCCGTAACTTTTGGACTTATTTTTAGGTATGACAAATTCTTATGCAGGAGATAATTATAGACCTTCATTTATTCAGGATAATGAGCTCAGACATTTAATCCTTAAGGTAAGTCAAGAGTTATATTTGTCTAAGCTGTGTTTGTCCTTTCGGTTTTACTTGGATGGGAGGCAGCTTTTCTTCAGTTTGCTTCCGGCTGCCAACATTCAGGGTTCCCTCGTACACCACAGCTCCCTTCCTACAAAAATAAGTTGCCTAAGTAACCGTGTCTTAGTTTGGGCTGATGAAAGTAGAGACAGAGGATAGGCACTTTCCAAAGTATGGAGCAAAGCTCGTCTTTAATCCTAAACTTACACTGCCTGCTGTACTCACCTCCTATGCCATGGGGTCTGTTCCCCTCCGTCACCACCTCCTTCAAAGCCATCTACCTTGTATCCTTTTCTCTTCTGGATCCTGTTCTCCGCACATTAGCCAGTTACTGCTTACTGAGCTATTAGTCGATGCTTTGGCATTTCTGTTCTCATCATTTCATATGCATGGGTTTTCAGATTCACTCGTCTAGAGGTTTATTTGACCTGGAAAATATGACCATGTCATTGGCTTATCCTGCCCCCAGGAGGTGATAAAATGTCTTGATCTTGTGCTATGACTCCTGGGCTTTAAACTGCAGCATGTTTAAACAGAAAGATTCTTCATACGTATACTTGTCTATTTTTCTTTTAAATTTTTTAAAAAGCTCTTTTATCTGAACAGCTGAATTTAAATATAATATTTCTGATAGGAATGTAAGGATTTTTTTTTTTAAGATGAAGATATTTAAAGTTAGCAAAATGTACAGTATGCTTTGGAAGCTTTCTCACTAATCTTTAAGTGTGTTTTTTCAGTCCTAACATAACATGGGTTCTGCCCTTCTAGAATATGTCTGCCTAACTCACCTCATGTTTGTTTCCAGTTAGTAGAAATTAATCAAGGGAATGTCCAGTGGGGTGCTAGACTCATCCTGTGTCCATATATATCCATTTCCCTAGAAGTTGCTTCACAAGGAATATACTGGGCAGATTTCAATGGGAGTAACTGATGTTAGAATTTTTTAAGTTTCATTTTAAATGAGCGACACCTTATTATTTAAAAAGTATATTGTAGAATGTCTTCTCTTTTCCTTGTGCCCGCTCTACACATTCCCTTCATCTAAGCACATCCCCGGACAGTTGTTAATGCTGTGTTTTGATATCTTTATAGTTTCTATATGCAGTATAGAATTTGGGATGGGTCGTTTTTGTATTAGAAAATATCTCAATCAAATATTCCGTAGCCAAACTTTCCATGTCAAAAACTAGTTTAGACTGGGGTTCAATTTGATGTTCTTCATCAATCCTTTTATAGCTTAAGAAAATGTCCTGATTTTACTAGCTCTCTGACCACTTTGTTTTATTGCTATAGGAATTTTCACAGTATCTGAATGTGTGTAAGAAAAACAGAAGATATTTAAAAATATTCACTTTTATATTTTTAAATCCTAGACTGCAGAAGGCTTCCTATTTGTGGTTGGATGTGAGAGAGGAAGAATTCTCTTCGTTTCTAAATCAGTCTCCAAAATACTTAATTATGATCAGGTATCCAAAACTGAAGACATTTTCCACACAATGTTTAATTTTTTTTGAACGAACACATATTTCCGAGTTCTCTTCCTGAACCCTATCCTCCCCCTGGGCTGTGGGTGCTTAGGTTCTGCTAGGTTAGAACTCCCAGAGAGATGGAAATATATGGAAACACTATGGGTTTTTCTTTCTTTCTTTTTTTTTTTTTAAGATTTTATTTATTTGACAGAGACACAGCGAGAGAGGGAACACAAGTAGGGGGAGTGGGAGAGGGAGAAGCAGGCTTCCCGCTGAGCAGGGAGCCGGATGTGGGGCTCGATCCCAGGACCTTGGGATCATGACCTGAGCCAAAGGCAGACGCTTAATGACTAAGTCACCCAAGCACCCCATGGATTTTTATTTCTGATAAGGGTGTTCACTTCCTGACCTCCAGCAAGCTATTTAATTTTCCTGAGCTGCAACTTTCTCTTATGTAAAAAGGGGAAATGATGATTACACCTATCCCTTACGATGTAGAGACAAAATAACTGTCACATTTGAGACTGTCAGAACAATGTTAGCTGTCCTTCTGTTTCCTCCAAAAGACAGCATTATTATTTATTATTAGGTTATATGCATTGCATAACAGCTTTTGATCTAAGCTCTGGCAACAAACTCTAAAATTCATCTTTTATTTAACTACTTTTATAATCCTTTACTTCCTCATTCCTGAGCACCATTTAATTTGAACTAGTTACTCAAAAGCTCTAGCACTAACACTAATCCAATAGAGTGAATAAACTAGCACCTGTGGTCACTTTTAAAATATACATCAGATAGACCACAGCTTTACTCTTAAATAACTCCCAATAATTTCACCTATATTCTCCCCAAACATGAAAATTTGGGAGATATAAGATTCACAGATAATGAGTTAAATAGCAGAAGAAGAGGTATTATGAGCCTACATACAGAAGGAGTAAGAACCAAATGAATCATGCAGCTGGTTGTAGCTGCATCAGGGACACAAAGGCAGGTCAAGACTTGATTATTCTATTTCCTAACAGGAAACAGAAAACATCACACACACACAAAGATAACTTACAATTCAGAATAACATTTAAGTTCCAAATTAGTGACATGGAATCTCATCCCACTGGGCACTGACCTAGCATTTCAGACCATTCAAGAGATATACTGACTACTCAGGAGGACTTTGGAATCCCCATGATGTAGGGTATGGTCCTTAGCTTTTCAGATTCAGAAACCTGATTTGCTTTGAAGCATAGAGTTCACACAGTAGATTGATTTATAAAATGCTATTATTTAAAATATGAGATATCTAACTTCCAAGCTATCTTGGCTACTTGGCCGTTTGTCCAGCTGGTCCATGTGTTCTGTCTAATATGTCTACTTAGGTAATAAAGGATTTCACAAGGTGGGGTGATCACTGGGGTCAGGGAAGGCTTCATATACAAAATAGAATGTCTGCTTAGGCGTTAAGATGAGCAGAGAAGGGGAGGAAGACATTTCAAGTTGAGGGAGTTGGGCATTGGTGGTTCAGTGGTAGAATTCTCGCCTGCCAAGTTGAGGGAGTTGGGGAGTAAAAGCCAATTGGTTAGAATGGCGAGGGAACTATGAGTTTGTAGAGAAGGGGTAATGAATTCTAGGTGATGAGACCATATAAGCAAAGACATAGACGTGGGAATGCTGTACATACTGGGAGAAGTGGAATGGGAAGTGGGAGGTGTTCTAGGTTGAATAGTACAGTGATTTTTTTTTTTTTTTTAAATCTGAGTCACACCATAAAATCACAGATACTTTGTGGCTTCCATATTGCATGCAGTCTCTTTACTTTTACCAAGGTTAAGAAAAATTTAAAGTAAATCATAATATGACTTAGAAGCAACAAATGAATTGGGGGATGTTAACAAGAGTTCACCGAATATTAGTGATTAGGTATTTGTGATTTGTCTGTTTCCATATACGGTTTTGTGTGCATGTATTTCTATCTACAAGTATCACCCTGCTTTTAACACTAAGTTAATGTCACATGGAGTGGTAGATGTATCTTTGAGCCTAAGAAAAAGCAGTTTTAACAGTATTTACCATATGGTTGTGTGAAGAAATGTAGAAAAATTATGGTACTGATTTTAAATGAACATCTACCTTATAAATAGGCTAGCTTGACTGGACAAAGCTTATTTGACTTCTTACATCCAAAAGATGTTGCCAAAGTAAAGGAGCAACTTTCTTCTTCTGATATTTCACCGAGAGAGAAGCTGATCAATGCCAAAAGTAAGTGCTCATTTCAGCATGCCCATACTTTTATGTAAATATAATTATTACTTAAAAGCACAGCTATACAATATTTTGAAAAATTAGCTAATTACGGTTTTATCATGAGGAAATTTAATGAACTTTACAATCATTAACCTGAGAGTTCAAAAAACAATATAACTAAATAGAGAATTCTTATACTCATATACACATACAAAACAAATATATTCATATGAAGATGCTTTGTTCAGGGGGGAGTATGTGATTGCTTCATATTCACTGTTTTTCATATGTTAATAAAGTCTTTACAAGAAAGTATCATTTGGGATTTAAAAAATTGCTGGGGTTTCCATTATTCAGCTATATGCTGAGACGGTTCTCTTTCTTATATGAGTTAGATCTACTCAATATGAAAGACCTTGTATAATTGTGCTTTGGAAGTGTAAATATCCTTTATCTTCTCTGCAAATGCTTAGTACCAATTATTTATAATATAATGATGCTTTATGCCATTGATTACTACTATAAGTTAAAAATTTTTTTAAATGAAAAAAACCTCAAATTTCATTTCACTTGGATTACCTTTGTTTCCATCCCTAGGGAAAAAATGAAGATAAATTGCAAGTGTTTATAAATTATAAAAATATGATTGCTTGGCAAATGCTCTTTTTGGTGTATTTCACTTTATGGTTTACCATATAATGATGTCATTGCTTTAAATAACCATTTTTCTTTTTCAATTTATAAAAAGAAGTAATAATTTTGAAATGTGTCTCCTGACATTTCTTACCATCTATATGAAAATATTCTTTTCTACCTGTTCTCTTGCCTCCTCCTGCTATGAAAGCTGGTTTGCAAGTTCACAGGAATTTCCACAGTGGAAGGACTCATGTGTATTCTGGCTCAAGGCGATCCTTTTTCTGTCGGATGAAGAGTTGTAAAATCTCTGTCAAAGAAGAGCGTGAATGCTTATCCACCTCAAAGAAGAAAGGTATCATCATTTTAAAATACCAAGTGATTTAAGGCACGGATATAAAATTAATGTCCTAGAAGCTTTCCATACAGAAATAATAAAGTGTGTGGTCAAGGCAAATAGTTGAGACCAAAAGCACCCAAGGAAACAAGATTGTTTTTTAACCAGAATTATTTAGATTGACTCATCATAGCTTTCAAATTTATCAGGTAATTGCAGGCCCTTTACTGCCCAAGATTTTAATGGTGGTGTTGAAATTGCAGTTTGGGGGCATTCAAATGGGAAGAAATTGGGATTTCATAACAAAAGTTATATTTCATTGTTTTATAATATGAAAGTTAAGTCTTTTATAAAAAAACTGCAAGAGCCTGATTTGATTAATTTTGGTGAAAGTTTCTTAAGACATTCCAGGTGTAGTTTCAATGCTTTTGGTTCTTTGGTAAATATTTCTAGTTCTGTTTTCTTTTATAGATTTGTCTTATTTACATTTTTAATTAACACTCATCTATTTTACTTGACTGAGAAATTCTGGGGACTGAAAAATGTCTCACACTTTTTTTTGCCTAAGAACATATTAACCTATTAGATACAGGATTTCCTATGCAAATTTTAATGTGAGATTTGCTTTCCCATCCTTGAAAAGGATATTTATACTGAGCTGCAAGATTCAATTTATTTACAAGTTTTGGTCAAATCTTTTTTGGTGACCACTTAAGATGATAATCACTCAGTACTTATTAAGCATGTACCTGTGCCAAATCAGATACTGTACTAAGTGTTTTATTCCCCATGATAACACCATGCTTACCACTGAATTAAATTGGTAAAACTCACACTCAAACCTAAACCCCCTACTCTTACGTTACACTATAAAGAAACAAACAGAGTGAACCAGCAGTTGTAAGAGAGGATCTATTTGTAAACCGTCAGTTGCTGCCCTCGTGCCCTTGGCTCTGAGTGGGCAAGGGTTGTCTAAAGTCACTTGTAAGGCCTCCTGGGTGGAAGTCATAGTTGACCTGGTGATGAAGAGGCTGTGGAATGCAGCTGACTGGGATCAAATTTTGGTCCTGTCACTTCCTAGCTCTGTGATTGTGAACAAGTTTCTGAATCCCTCTAAGCCTCAGTTTCCTTATCTGTAAAACAAGATTATCCACAGCCTTGTGTGGCTTTGTGGGGTAGGTAAATGTATCAATTCCAGAGCCAAACTGTTCAGGTTTGAATCCTAACTTGTGAGTAACTGTATGACTCAAGATAAATTACTAAATCCTTTTGATCTCACTCTTTTCAGTGGTAGAAAGAAAATAATAGAATCTCCCTCCTAGGGTGGTTATTAGGATTAAAGGAGTTAATATATGTGATGTGCTTACCCTGGTTTCTAGCATAGTAACACTAGGTAAATGTTAGGAGTTGTTATGAATATTATTAGAAATAATGCACCTAAACTCTTAGGATAGTGCAAGTAGATGGTATTGTCATTACCTCAGGGTGCCTGTTTCCTCTGCCTTCCTTCCCAAGTCAGTCATGTTAATCTCATATTAATCTTATATTTGACATGGCTAATAATATGGAACTAGTCTCCAAGGGCAGGAATATTCCTTCTGTGTGGATGGTATAAGGGTCATACTCCATGTAGACCCTGGACTGTAGTACAGGATTTAACTAGATTTAAGTAGAGGTAAATCAATACCATACTGAGTAGATCCAACCATAAGTGAATCACCTAATCTATACAGCAGTCCATGAGAGAGAAAAACATGGCAGCCAATGCAACTATCTTAATGTGGCTGAAATCTCTATGGTGTTTTATACAAGTTATAAGTTGAGTAAAGTCTTAAATTATCAGGTTTTGTAAGTGTTTTAAAGATTACCAAATTAGGGAGTAATAGTTCTGGTCCAAGATGTTGACATAGGAAGACCCTGAACTCACCTCCTTCACAGATACCAAACCTACACCTATTTATAGAGCAGTTTCTCCTGAAAAAGATCTGAGTGCTGACCGAACAGCTTCCACACAGTAAAAGACCACATACAGAATGGCACAGTAATAAAGGGAAACCCTAACACTGAGAACTGTAGTGGGGAGGGATAGTACTAAGGGACTGTGAGCAGATCTGTCTGCACTGGGGCACACAAAAAAGCCACAGTCTAAAAAGGCAACTAGAATATACAGGAACCAGCCCTACCACACTGCCAAAGGGCTGGGAGCTACTGGAACTCTCTCCAGGTCAAAGGGGCTGGTGAGGACCACAGTTTACATTCCCCCTCCACCTTGACCATATGAATGAGAGCAAGGTCTGGGTGCCCGAGCTAGCCTTCTCTGTCAGTGAGCCCCAGAGCCCTAACTCACACCAGCCCTAAGGTAGCCCCACAATAGTGCCCAACAGGACATCCCTGTTCAGCACTCATTACAGCTCCACTGCCTTGCCAAGGTGACACAGTGCAAAGCATGCTGGAACACTCGAGGCCTACATCACTTCAGCTCCAGCCAACCCACCAGGGTGCCCCTTGTGCAGAGTACCCTCAGAACACCTGGCCCATACCCATCTCTGCTCCATTTGCCCTGCCAGGGCACCTCTGTGCACAGCACCCAGGGACTACCCCAGCCCATGCCTACACTTCAGTTTCAGCTATTCTACCAGGGTGCTGTGTAGAGAAACTCAGGACCCACTAGCCTGCACCCACTTCAGCTGTCCTGCTAGGGCACTCTCTGTACAGATGGTCCTAAGACCACCTCAACTCATGTCCACTTCAGCTCCAGGCATCCTTCTAGGGCAGTTCCAGAATGGAGCGCCCTAGGGCCCCCACTGATATCAGCTACAGTTCCAACCAGTCAAAGTCACCAGATACAGAGTCTACACAGGGAAAAACCATACACAAGATGATTCCTTCAAGTTTGGGAGAAATAGCTCTTCTGCCTAATTCATAGAAACAACACAGAAAGTCAGGGAAACAGAGGAGTATGCTGCAAATGAAAGAACAAGACAAAACCTGAGAAAAAGAACTAAGCAATATGCCTGATAAAGAGTTTAATGATCATAAAGATGTTCACAGACTGGAGAGAAGGGTGGAAGAACTCAGAACTTCAACAAAAAGATAGAAAATATAAAAGACAACTAATCAGAGTTGAAGAATATAATAAATAAAATGAAAAATATATTAGGGGGAATCAATAGATTAATGGATACAGAAGAATGGATCAGTAATCTGGAAGATAGGGTAATGGAAAGCACCCAAGCTGAACAGCAAGAAGAAAAAGGAATTTTAAAAAGTGAGGATAGGTAAGGGATCTCTTCAACAACATCAAGCAAACAAACATTCACATTATAGGAGTCCCAGAAGGAGAAGAGAGAAAGGAGCAGAACACTTATTTGAGGAAATAAGAGCTGAACAAGTCTCTATCTCAGGGAAGGAAACAGATCTGTGACTCAGGAGGCACAGAGAGCCTCAAAGAAGATGAACCCAAGAAGTTCTACACCAAGACACATCACAATTAAAAAGTCAAAGATTAAAGAAAGCTAAAGAGAGAATTTTAAAAGCAGCAAGAGAGAAGCAATAAGTACCATACAAGGGAAACCCCATAAGGCTATCAGCTGATTTTTCAGCAGAAACTTTGCAGGCCAGAAGGAGTGGCATGATATATTCAAAGTGCTGAAAGGAAAAAACCTACAACCAAGAATACTCTACCTGGCAAGATTATCATTAAGAATTAAAAAAGAGATAAAGAGTTCCCAGGCAAACAAAAGTTAAAGGAGTTCATCACTAAGCTGGCATTACAAGAAAAATTAAAGGGACTTCTTGAAGTGGAAAAGAAAAGACCATACTTAGAAGTAAGAAAATTTGAATAACAGGATATAAAATATGACAACATATAAATTAAACATGGGGGAGGGGAGCAAAAAATTTTTCAGAATGTGTTTAAACTTAAGTGACCATCAACTTAATATAGACTGCTCTATACTTAGGATGTTATATATGAACCTCATGGTGACCACAAACCAAACACCTATAAGAGGTACACAAAAAATAAACAGAAAGCCAAGCATAACACTAAAGAAAGTCAACAATTATAAGGGAAGAGACCAAGAGAAGAAGAAAGGAACAGAAAAGAACTACAACAACAACCAGAAAACAATAAACAAAATGGCAATGAATACATAACTATCAATAATTACTTTAAAAATAAAGGGTCTAAATGTTCCAATTGAGAACACAGGGTGATTCAATGGATTAAAAAAAACAACACCCATCTTACGTGTTCCCTACAAAAGGCTCACTTCAGGCCTAAGGACCCATACAGACTGAAAGTGAAAGCTTGAAAAAAGATATTCTATGCAAATGGAAGCAAAAAAAAAAAAAAAGCTGGGATAGCAATACTTATATCAAACAAAATAGACTTTTTTTTTTTTTAAGATTTTATTTATTTGTCAGAGAGAGACAGAGCACAAGCAGGGATCGTGACCTGAGCCAAAGGCAGACGCTTAACCAACTGAGCCACCCAGGCATCCCAAACAAAATAGACTTTAACAAAGTGTTAAAGTACATAACAAGTGACAAAAGGGGCGATGCATAGTGATAAAAGGATTAATCCAACAAGAGGAGAGAATAATTGTAAATATTCATGCATCCAACATAGGAGTACCAAAATACATAAAACAAATATTAACAGACATAAAGGGAGAAATGGAGGGTAATACAATAATAGTAGGGACTTTAATACCCCACTTACATCAATGGATGGATCATCCATGTAGAAAATCAATAAGGAAACAGTGTCTTTGAATGACACATTAGACTAGATAAACTTAACAGATACATACAGAACATTTCATCCAAAAACAGAGTACAGATTCTTTTCAAGTGCACATGGAATATCCTCCAGGATAGATCACAAAACAAGTCTCAATAAATTTAAGAGCATAAAAATTACACACACATCTTTTCCAACCACAACAGTATGAAACTGGAAATTAATCACAAGAAAAAATTCTTAAAAACAAACACATGGAAGCTAAACAACA